CATTATATATATATATATATATATATATATATATATATATATATATTTGATTGATGAGGATCAGCATTAAGTTGTGCCGGTCTGAAATAGACTATGTCCACATGAGGTAATTTGGGATTTTTCCTGTAAAAAATATATATGCTCTGTTATAATAAGTACATTGAGCTCTCTGTGGATCAGTTTTAATATTTGATATTACTTGGATTATATACCAATGGATCTATTACCTGTACTATATATATATATATATATATATATATATATATATATATTTGGTTGGATAGATGTGAGGTTGTGACCCTGGGTTTCACGCTTTAGCGATCATCAGACAAACTGATTAATGTTTTAAAAAATTTGAGTTTATGTAGATTGCATGTATTGGTGTTATTGTGGAAGTGGTGGGGGAAATTTCATCGTTTTGTCATTCATCGTACTAATGCAAACATCGATGTATGCAGACACATATACATACTTGGTCGTCCGTCAGGACTCATACATATATAAACATATGTGGGCAGTTTCTAATAAGTACCTCATATAATATATAAATAATTATACATATATATTTTATTTATATTTATATACACTTTTCACATATATATATATATATATATATATATATATATATATATATATATATATATTGTGTATTTAGGCAGCAATCCCTCATTTATACATATTTCATTATCCCAGTTGTCTCAAACAAAAAAAATCAAATTATGTATGACAAAAAGTTTCAAACAGCTAACCTTATTCTCAAAAGTGGTTTAAATGCCCATTAAGGAACTGTGTTCCTGATCAAACCAAACTCATAAATAATTACATTGGTCACACTACTACTTGCATATCCAGACAACTTACATTACACCTATCCACCACAACTCCATCAGAACCCATTTAAACACACACAAAAACTTACCAGATTCTATCCGAAACATACTCATAGAAAATATAAGTATAATAACCTCACCCACATGTAAAAAAAAAATTAAAATAACAGAAGCCTTAATAATAAAAAGAAAAAGCCAATACTCAATAATATTAACTAGGAACACAGCCACAATGTGCTGACAGTGTTCAGAAAATAAAACATCCCTATAACTCTAGATACATACACACAATCCATACATCCACTTAAAAAGTAAAAATAAAATTATCCTTAATAATGGCTAAAAGTATAGCCAAAAGAGCTTGGAATTACAGAACATTTGCACAGTTTATACCCGCTCTGTGTCATGAAAAGAAAACACTTGTTTGAACACAAGAAAAATAAAATAAAAATCTTAATCATAGTACCTTGTCTGTCATCTTTAAAGAGACATATATATATATATATATATATATATATGTATATATATTATTTATTATAAAGATGTTACATACAGACAAATAAGTACTCACGAAAAAGATGCATTTTTCTTTCAATGCAAATGCATCTCAACAGGTGAGGAACAAAGATGGTTACCATCAAAACAAAAATGTGTCTTTGTCAAGAGTACTTGTTTGTCTGTAACATCTTTATAATAAATAACTATTGATCTACTCTTGGTATTAATCCCTCTTTTAAATTAATGCTATGAATGCTTAAATTTATATTCTTTACATTATCATTACATTTGAACATATATATATATGTGTGTGTGTGTGTGTGTGTGTGTGTAAAACAAATGCCAAAGTATCATTGGCTTTAATAAACTAAATGAAAACCATTTATTTTTATTTTATTTTGCAGGCTACGATGTCTTTAATCGTGGATTATTTCCCAAACATTTTTTGTACTATCTGAGGATTTTCAATTCTGCTGTTCAAGAAATTCAGAAGAAAAACATTACACTAGGAAATGGTCAGATCTATCATCAAAGTGTGATTGGTAAGGAATATTCAGTTTGTCTATCAAGCCCTAAATAAGAACAGCAAGGTTCAGACTGAGGCTTTAGATATTGTGAAGCTATTTGACAGGGTTTTCTCATGCAGGACTTGTCTATGAGCTCAAAGGCTTACGATGTCTCTGGCTTAATCATTCTTAACAAATCAGGTAATGAAAGTCATGTTGAATGGCCATGCTTCTAGATTATTTCCAGTTAATGCAAGCATTTCCTCAGGACTCTATCCTTGGATCTACATTGTTTCTTATATTCATCAATGACTTTCCTGATGTCATCAGTTCCCAACTAGGTATTTGTTGTAACATACCTACAAGCGATAATGGGTATGACTCCATTCACATAAATACAGTAGTAAATACTGTATGTTGGTCTTTAGTTGGAGATTCATTGTGGAATTCGCTTGACTTACTTCTAGCAGTTGACTACTTCTCCTATGCACCGCTGGCAAATCTTATATGTGTTGTTCTTGTCCTAAGTATTATTGTTCATTACTAACCTTCATGTGATTATTCTATTCAGTAACCTTCCCTAGGTTACAACAGTTTTTATACTAATGACACAACTATTTACTGTTGTCTTAATAATAAGTCTGCTAGGTTCAATCATGCCATCCTACTGCACTATCCACCACAGAGACAACTGTCACCTCCCAAAGAGATTGCTCTATAGTGAGCTATCCACAGGCAAGCACTCTCTCGGCAGACCAAAGGAACATTACAAAGACACACTGAATGAGTCTCTCAAATAGTGTGGCATTCCTCATTCCACCTGGGAAGAGTCTGCTGAGGACCATGCCATCTGGCACTCTCTTGTAGGGCTCATTGTGTCAGATTTTGAAAAGAAAAGAACCAGGGATAATGAACAGAGACACCAGAAAAGGAAAGATTGAGAAGGCTCAGCGAACCAGCCTGGTTCAGCTCCCAGCATCCCATCCCATTTCACAACTGTAACAGACTTTTCAGGATGAAGATCGAAATCATTAGACATCTCCACACCCTCACTGCAACCCCCCTCAGTAATTCAAAATCAAGCTCATCTCTATATGTGGAGGACGAACATACTTATTAGATTCTCACTGGTAGCTGCTCTTTAAAATTACCTCCAATCAGTTGTTACTTGGAGCAAGAAATGGCTTGTAAATTCCAAAGCCTCCAAAACAAAACTGCTTTCATTTAATCTGCTCAGAGAACCATTTCTGCTTGCCATCAGCATGACTAATGCTAAACTCCAGGAGAGGAACACTATGTAACTTCTTGAAAGTAATACAAATATGATATGTTATTCTGCTTTCACAGTTGAATACATGGTAGATGATACACAGCTTTTGTGCATATACATGTTTGTGTGGACATAATTACTAGAGGCAGTGATGCATGTTTTATGTTGTAGTTTTGTTGAAGTTATATTGTGGAATACAGTTCGGTTTCTTTAAAAAATTGTAGGATAATATATGGATTAATATCATGAAAGAGTTCATGTTGGTTGTTTGGTAATCTTTTAAATGAATTTGAGTGAGGTCACTACAATTTGTTAGTAGGTGTTGGTAATTTTACTATAGAAATATATTTTTATACTTTCATAGTATTTTGTTTTTGTTTGGGGTTTCACTTTGTCCATAGCTGGGACCCTAACAGACGCTACCACCCCTGTGTCAGGGTGTACCTGGGAACAACAGTAATTAAGAAATGGTTCCATTCCCTTCAAAACCTCCAATCTCATGATCAGAGGTCTTGCTGCCAGATATAGTTTATCATCATACCCAGGAATGAGAAATAGTCAAGATGCCAGGATGTTTAATTTTTTTAAATTTAAATTAAAAAATTTTAAATTTAAATTTTGGTAATAGTACTGCTTTTTGTCAAGAAAGGGCATTGGGTGTATGAACCAGCATGTAAATTTACCATAACTTTACAGTAATTTTTTTAAATATATATTAGTTTACCATAAATTTCACTCAAAAATTGTTCTCACATGTGTTTTTCTTTGGGCTAATTTCTCTGGCCTTCAATGTTTTGTAAGTGTCAAATCTTTAAAGCTTTATTTATTCATCATGTGTTTCAGAAAGCTGTTTTTATTTTCTGATTGTAAATATAAGTGACCTATTTGTTTCCAGTTTTCTTAAAGCTTCCTCATTGCTCATATGCTCTGTCTAGGGTATTCTCAGCACACATCTGTAGAACATCTGTTGCATCAAGTCTTTTATTCTGTGAGCAAATTGTCAAAAATTCACTCTGATATAGGAGAATTGCTATTACATAACAGTTTAGTACTCTTTTCTTTGCTTCTAACAAAATTTTCTTTGCTCTTTTAGTTTTTGGGAGGCATCTTTTGCTATTCCAATGTGTGTTTGAATTTGTGTCACATTTTCCATACTTTCTTAAAACACTTCCTTGATATTTAAACTTGCTTGATTTTGGAATTTTCAGTTTGTAGCTTGCATCTTGGGATTTTTTTTCTGTTGCTGATAATGATACATTCTGTCATTAGTCCTTTCTTCTTTCTTTCTTTTACTACTTTGTCTAAGATGTCCTGTAGTTCACTTTCTGTGTCTGCCATCAACACCATGTCATCTAAGCATTTTATGTTAGGATTTTACCCACTGATACTAAATCCTTGTAAGCTCTCTAGCTCTTAGGATGGTCTTGCTGTAGAGCTTGAATAAATCTGGCAAGAAGACACATCCTTGTCTTACACACCTTTTTATTTTTAATTTAAATTTTAAAATTTCTTTCATCTGATGTATCTGGATGCACAACGAAGCCAGCCTCATTCAACTTCCCAACACTTGTTTCTGATTTTATCATGATGTTGTTTATGACGTTTATGATGTTGTGTTTATCTATTCCACATTGTAATAGCATTGGTTTTTATTAATGTTGTAATCTAGAAAGGGTTACTGAACGAGCGATAACCAAAATGGAGGTTGGAAGTGAAATGGTAATCTTTATAATATCACAAAATATAATACTTGCCAGCAGCATGAATTAGATAAACTCCTGCTAGTGGTGAACTACTTAGGCAGCATATTACCCCCACTTACAATAGTATCCAACGTATTTATGAGGAGTGGGACATATCCATTAGTGCTCATAGGTACGGTATATAACACTATCTATGTCAGTTCAGGTTCTATCTATCTATCTATCTATCTATCTATCTATCTATCTATCTATCTATCTATCTCAGTCCTTTACATATCTATCTATCTATCTATCTATCTATCTATCTATCTGTTGTAGCCTAGACAGAGTTACTGAATGAGCGATAACCAAAATGGAGGTTGGAAGTGAAATGGTAATCTTTATAATATCCTATCTAAATATAATCAGTCTTGCCAGCAGCATGAATTAGATAAACTATCTATCTATGGTAACTACTTAGGCAGCATATTACCCCATCTGTTGTAGTGTCCAACGTATTTATGAATGGGACATATCCAAAAGTGCTCAGGTTGGTATATAAATGATAATTTTGTAACATCAACAAAATCTATCTATCTATCTATCTATCTATCTATCTATCCATCTATCTATCTATCTATCTCAGTCCTTTACATATCTATCCCCCTCTATCTATCTATCCAATCTATTTATCTATCTATTGGGATCTATCTATCTCAGTCCATTACATATCTATCTATCTATCTATCATCTATCTATCTATCTATCTATCTAAGTCCTTTACATATGTATTTACATCTATCTTTCTATCTAAAATCTATCTATCTATCTTCTATCTCAGTCCTATTACATATCTCATCTATCAATCATCTATCTATCTATCTTCTCTATCTATCTCAGTCCTTTACATATCTATCTATCTATCTATCTATCTATCTATCTATCTATCTTTCTATCTCAGTCCTTTACATATCTATCCATCTATAATCAATCTTTGATATATTCTATCTATCTATCTATCTATCTCAGTCCTTTACATATCATCTATCTATCTATCTATCTATCTATCTATCTATCTCAGTCCTTTACATATCTATCTATCTTTCATTTTATTTTAATCTATCTATCTATCTATCTATCTATCTATCTATCTGTTGTAGCCTAGATATTCCTCATGAATGAGGAATAACCAAAACAGAGGTTGGAAATGAAATGATAATTTTATAACATCAACAAAATACAATTTTAGCAAGCGTAGGTAAACCACTGCTAGTAGTGGACTACTTAGACAGCATATTATCCCCACTTACAATAGTGTCCAACGTATTTATGAGGATTGGGACATATCCATTAGTATTCATAGTTATGGTATATAACAGTTAAGAAAGGTGATTGGGAAAATGTGAATTTACCATATGTATTTACAGTAATTTTGACAAAAAGAAATCCTTTAAAAGTTCACAAACATATTATAGCAGTCACACTGCAATCAAAAACTAGGTTCTAGAATTAAATTAGTTGAAACTAAATGTTACTGATGACATCTAATAGAAAGAAAAGAAAGAAACTTTTTTGGGTCAACCCAATACGTCCAAACATAAACAAGTTTTGATATATTAGAAGATAAATATTAACTTTCCTCGTCAGCAAGAAGAGAGCAAAATGTACCTGTCTGTATAGGCAATTACCTTGTCTAGAATGCTCTTTCATTTTATTTTAAAAGAAGAAGGATATGTGAAAGGGCCAATGGTTTTGAATTTATAGCTGAAGATATTCCTCATAAAGCATAAGATTAAAAATATATGAACAATGGGCGTCTATAAATTCCAGTCGGCATTTTTACGCTTCCTTCAAGTGGGAGGAAATTGTAAATAACATAACCATAGCACTGAGTGACCTCGATTTACTATTTTCTTTTTCAAATCATACCATTGGGCACTTTAGAATACAGTAGTTTATTATGACATTGCTTATTTGTGCAAGAGTGTTCATACCTGAGAGTTCAAGAATATAAAAGGATGTATTTATATTCACTAATTGCAAACAACATTTATGAAAAAGGCTTATGGGTAATGTAGAAAAAGAACATTGCATCCTTAAAACACATTTTATCTGCAGAAATTTGAATGGTTATAAAATTATCTTAGAAATTTAATATTAAGTCTATTGAAATCTACTATTAAATCTGCTGAAATATAATATAAAATCAATTAAAACCCAATATTAGATCTATTGAAATATTATGTAAGCTCTATTGAAATTTAATATTTGATCTATTGAAATATTAACTATATTTAAATGTAATATTAAATCTATTGAAATTTACTATAAAATCTATTGAAATCTACTATTAAATCTGCTGAAATATAATATAAAATCAATTAAAATCCAATATTAGATCTATTGAAATATTATGTAAGCTCTATTGAAATTTAATATTTGATCTATTGAAATATTAACTATATTTAAATGTAATATTAAATCTATTGAAATTTACTATAAAATCTATTGAAATCTACTATTAAATCTGCTGAAATATAATATAAAATCAATTAAAATCCAATATTATATCTATTGAAATATAATGTTAGCTCTATTGAAATTTAATATTTGATCTATTGAAATATTAACTATATTTAAATGTAATATTAAATCTATTGAAATTTAATATTAAGTCTATTGAAATCTACTATTAAATCTGCTGAAATATAATATAAAATCAATTAAAATCCAATATTAGATCTATTGAAATATAATGTTAGCTCTATTGAAATTTAATATTTGATCTATTGAAATATTAACTATATTTAAATGTAATATTAAATCTATTGAAATTTAATATTAAGTCTATTGAAATCTACTATTAAATCTGCTGAAATATAATATAAAATCAATTAAAATCCAATATTAGATCTATTGAAATTTAATATTTGATCTATTGAAATATTAACTATATTTAAATGTAATATTAAATCTATTGAAATTTAATATTAAGTCTATTGAAATCTACTATTAAATCTGCTGAAATATAATATAAAATCAATTAAAATCCAATATTAGATCTATTGAAATATTATGTAAGCTCTATTGAAATTTAATATTTGATCTATTGAAATATTAACTATATTTAAATGTAATATTAAATCTATTGAAATTTAATATTAAATGTTGAAATTTAATGTTAGACTTGTCAGGTTACCTCCTCCTAATTTTTGAAATTGCTACTAGGGAACACTCTCTGACACTATAAATATTTGGCAACAATTTTTTTAATCACTCTCTTACTCTTCTGATCTTATCCATCAACATGTAAGTCTCTCACATAAAAATGCATTCTCTTTTGGGAATTGCATGCACAATACATACACACATCCACATACTTTGGACCAAAAAGTTTCCACACTCATTTGTCACACGCATTATTGCTTTTGTCACTTGTATACTTTTTTTTGTTAATACATTATTATTTGTTTGTACATATATATTGGTTCTTGTTGTTCCTTTTTTCATTTATTTACATAGACTCATATCCCAAGTCTGCCATGTTTATTTTGGGCATTTCAGGAGACACACATGTTTATCACTCAATTCATACACAGGAGGCCTGAAATTTAATATTAAACCTGTTAAAATTTAATATTAAATTTGTTGAAATTTAATATTAAATTTGTTGAAATTTAAGATCTATTGAAATATAATATTAAACCTGATAAAATTTAATATTAAATTTGTTGAAATTTAATATTAAATCTATTGAAACTTAATATCAAACCTGTTAAAATTTAATATTAAATTTGTTAAAAATTAATATTAAATCTACTGAAATTTAAGATCTATTGAAATTTAATATTAAACCTGTTAAAATTTAATATTAAATTTGTTGAAATTTAATATTAAATCTATTGAAATTTAAGATCTATTGAAATTCAATATTAAACCTGTTAAAATTTAATATTAAATTTGTTGAAATTTAATATTAAATCTATTTAAAATATGAGATCTATTGAAATTTAATATTAGATCTGTCAAAAATTAATATTAAATCTACCAGAATTTAAATCAAATCAGGACCAATAATATTGCTGATTCTTCTTTGGATTTTATCAAGAATCTCTAAATATATAGCAGGTGCACCAGACCATATGTGACAGCAATATTCTAATCATGGGTGCATGATAGACTTATAGATATGTAAGATAGTTTACTAATTTTACATTTATATCTTGGTCAGCCTATGAACTTTTCAGCCAACTCTCATATATGAGAAACCTATTTCCTTGAAAAATTGTTTTAATAGAAAGATTTTATAAATTTCCACTGAAAGTAGCATTTGTTGTTCGGTCAAAGAATGCCAAATGTTTCCTTATAAGGAAACAGATAATATTTCTTTTTATGCACTATGTCCTTTCAGGATGTAGATGATTATGGCTCTTCACCTCCCTCTATCCCTTGCAGCCCTCAGCATCAACATCTCTGTTGCCTCGAGTCTCTTCTTCATCTTTGTGGAAATCTTCCAACATTTGCTGCCATAAACAAGGACAGATGTCACGTAACAGCTCAGTATTCTTTTCTTCATTTGTCAAGAAATGTCATGGCAGTTCACAGACATTGCAGAAAAGAAAGCTTCAAATCTTTCTTTTTATGTGCCATGTCCAGGATGTAGGTGATCATGGCTCTCTGCCTCTCTCTATCCCTTGCAGCTCTCAACAAGTTCCTTCCCTCTGCTTCCCCCCGCCAGACCACGTTCTGTCATCCACTTGCTTAAGTCTGCCAGGTATGCATTTATATTTGATCAGACTATGGACTTTTCAGCTAACCCTCATTGCTTTCCCTTGTCTCTCTTTCCCTCTATTCAACCAGTGAGTATCAGATTCTCCAGGACCTCCTTCCTCATTATGTGTCCCAGAAACTTCAGCTGCCTCTTTCTGATGTTAAGTATAAGCCTCCTCCTTGTTTGCAACCTCTCTAAGACCTCATCGTTGCTCATATACTCAGTCCTTAGCATCCTTCTGTAGAACCACATCTCCATCACTTTGAGTACCATTCCCATTATTATTACCATCTCCATAGTTTTGAATTCAAAGTTGCCCTCCAAGACTGACTGCACTATCAAATCTAGAAAACCAAATCAATCCCTATTATTTTACCCAAAGCTGGGAAGAAAAAATATGGATTCATGCTATTCACAAGGGTCTGAACATTTCTAACCAGATTTTGAATTCAGCCTTTCATTTCCATTCACCATGCCAATAACCATCATGCCACCCACATATCCGACTTAATCATGTGAACTGATTAACTATACATATGCTTTTGACAGTTTATCTTCATCCTTTGCCTTTTATCACTTTCTCAATATACAAAGTATATATAGAGTAAACTATTAATAATATCCCAATGGACATAGGTGTGGGCAGCTATCGTTACTCCCTGATGGTGTAGCTTGGATAGTAACTTGGATTGAGGAATCAGAGAGCCGAGTTTGAATTACATTCACTTACATGCTAATAATACCCTTGGGAAAGGTATGAATCCTCTTCTTCTCTCTCCAAATAAATAGCAGGACAGACCGGGTTTTATTGCCTTGGATGAAGCAGGACAACTCTGAATTCAAAACCTGCATGTAGTGCACCAGGTTTTTGTATTTGACCCTTCAAAAAATGTGGATAGTTCTGCACAAAACCTTCACCACTATAATCAAGTCTCATATGCTGGTGTTCGGCTGTCAGTTTCCTAGGAACTGATCTACTTGACCCTCATACATCAACTTTAATGGGAGAGTCAAATATATATATATATATATATAGATATAAATATAGATATAGAGATATATAGGTAAAAATCTGTGTGTAAGTAATCAAAGTAGATTCTATTAATATGAAATATTAAAACTGATCTACAAAAGGGACCTCAATATATTTAAGATAGAGCATATAAGTGAATTGCAAAAATGAAAACCAAATTACCCCATTCAGATAGCCATTTTGAATAAAAAAAATTTAGAAGGAACTGGAAAACCAATTTTTTTTTTTCTTTAACAAATGTATTTGCATTAACAAGTCCCAGGGAGAATCTCCCAAGGATGCAATAGCCACCTGATTGGGGTAATTTGGGTTTCATTTCTACACACACACACACATATATATATATATATATATATATATATATATATATTTAGATAG